GTTGTCAGTATCAACACCATGAATTGGATTATGTCTGTAATGTGCATGTTCATATCTTCAATAAACTTGAAGATGTGAAGCATCATTATTCACAAAACAGACAATCCAATACATATTCACAAATGAAGTGGTTGTCAGTAGCAACACCATAAATTGGATTATGTCTGTAATGTGCATGCTTATATCTTCAATTAACGTGAAGATGTGAAGCATCATAATTCACAAAACAGACAATGCAAGACATATTCACAAATGAAGTGGTTGTCAGTATCAACACCATGAATTGGATTATGTCTGTAATGTGTATGTTCATATCTTCAATAAACTTGAAGATGTGAAGCATCATTATTCACAAACAGACAATCCAAGACATATTCACAAATGAAATGGTTGTCAGTATCAACACCATGAATTGGATTATGTCTGTAATGTGCATGTTCATATCTTCAATAAACTTGAAGATGTGAAGCATCATTATTCACAAAACAGACAATCCAATACATATTCACAAATGAAGTGGTTGTCAGTAGCAACACCATGAATTGGATTATGTCTGTAATGTGCATGCTTATATCTTCAATAAACTTGAAGATGTGAAGCATCATAATTCACAAAACAGACAATCCAAGACATATTCACAAATGAAGTGGTTGTCAGTATCAACACCATGAATTGGATTATGTCTGTAATGTGTATGTTCATATCTTCAATAAACTTGAAGATGTGAAGCATCATTATTCAAAAACAGACAATCCAAGACATATTCACAAATGAAGTGGTTGTCAGTTAAGTAGCAACACCATGAATTGGATTATGTCTGTAATGTGTATGCTTATATCTTCAATAAACTTTAAGATGTGAAGCATCATAATTCACAAAACAGACTATCCAAGACATATTCACAAATGAAGTGGTTGTCAGTATCAACACCATGAATTTGATTATGTCTGTAATGTGCATGTTCATATTTTCAATAAACTTGAAGATGTGAAGTATCATTATGTACAAACAGACAATCCAAGACATCTTGAAAAAGGAAGTGGTTGTCAGTATCAACACCATGAACTGGATTGTGTCTGTAATGTGCATGCTCATATCTTCAATAAACTTGAAGATGTGAAGCATCATAATTCACAAAACAGACAATCCAAGACATATTCACAAATGAAGTGGTTGTCAGTATCAACACCATGAATTGGATTATGTCTGTAATGTGCATGTTCATATTTTCAATAAACCTGAAGATGTGAAGTATCATTATTCACAAACAGACAATCCAAGACATCTTGACAAAGGAAGTGGTTGTCAGTATCAACACCATGAATTGGATTGTGCCTGTAATGTGCATGCTCATATCTTCAATAAACTTGAAGATGTGAAGCATCATAATTCACAAAACAGACAATCCAGGACATATTTACAAATGAAGTGGTTGTCAGTATCAACACCATGAATTGGATTATGTCTGTAATGTGCATGCTCATATCTTCAATAAACTTGAAGATGTGAAGCATCATAATTCACAAAACAGACAATCCAGGACATATTTACAAATGAAGTGGTTGTCAGTATCAACATCATGAATTGGATTATGTCTGTAATGTGCACGCTCATATCTTCAATAAACTTGAAGATGTGAAGCATCATAATTCACAAAACAGACAATCCAAGACATATTCACAAATGAAGTGGTTGTCAGTATCAACACCATAAATTGGATTATGTCTGTAATGTGGATGTTCATATCTTCAATAAACTTAAAGGTGTGAACAATATAATTCACAAAACAGACAATCCAAGACATCTTCACAAAGGAAGTGGTTGTCAGGATCAACACCATGAATTGGATTGTGTCTGTAATGTGCATGCTCATATCTTCAATAAACTTGAAGATATGAAGCATCATAATTCACAAAACAGACAATCCAAGACATATTCACAAATGAAGTGGTTGTCAGTATCAACACCATGAATTGGATTATGTCTGTAATGTGTATGTTCATATCTTCAATAAACTTGAAGATGTGAAGCATCATTATTCACAAACAGACAATCCAAGACATATTCACAAATGAAGTGGTTGTCAGTATCAACACCATGAATTGGATTATGTCTGTAATGTGCATGTTCATATCTTCAATAAACTTGAAGAAGTGAAGCATCATTATTCACAAAACAGACAATCCAAGACATATTCACAAATGAAGTGGTTGTCAGTATCAACACCATGAATTGGATTATGTCTGTAATGTGCATGTTCATATCTTCAATAAAGCTGAAGGTGTGATACATCATAATTCACAAAACAGACAATCCAAGACATCTTGACAAAGGAAGTGGTTGTCAGTAGCAACAACATGAATTGGATTATGTCTGTAGTGTGTATGTTTATACCTTCATTTAGGTAAAAAAGTTAAAGGTGTAAACATCATTATTCACAAAACAGATAATCCAAGACATTTTCACAAAGAAGTGGTTCTCAGTATCAACCCAGACCCAGACAATATAATCAGACAATAAAACAAGACAAAGGAACCAGACAACAGAATCAGACAGCATACTTATACAACAGAACTATACAACAGAACTATTCAACAGAACTATTCAACAGAACTATTCAACAGAACTATACAACAGAACTATACAACAGAACTATTCAACAGAACTATACAACAGAACTATACAAGAGAACTATTTAACAGAACTATTCAACAGAACTATTCAACAGAACTATACAACAGAACTATACAACAGAACTATTCAACAGAACTATTCAACAGAACTATGCAACATCACTATTCAACAGAACTATTCAACAGAACTATACATCAGAACTATACAACAGAACTATATAACAGAACTATACAACAGAACTATTCATCAGAACTATACAACAGAACTATACATCAGAACTATACAACAGAACTATACAACAGAACTATACATCAGAACTAGACAACAGAACTATTCAACAGAACTATTCAACAGAACTATTCAACAGAACTATTCAACAGAACTATACATCAGAACTATTCAACAGAACTATACAACAGAACTATACAACAGAACTATACATCAGAACTCTATACTACAGAACTATACAACGGAACTATTCAACAGAACTATCGAACGGAACTATACAACGGAACTATACAACAGAACTATTCAGCGGAACTATACAACAGAACTATACAACAGAACTATTCAACAGAACTATACAACAGAACTATACATCAGAACTCTATACTACAGAACTATAGAACGGAACTATTCAACAGAACTATTGAACGGAACTATACAACGGAACTATACAACAGAACTATTCAGCAGAACTATACAACAGAACTATTCAACAGAACTATACAACAGAACTATTCAACAGTACTATTCAACAGAAATATACAACAGAACTATTCAACAGAACTATAAAGCAGAACTATTCAACAGAACTATTCAACAGAACTATACAACAGAAATATTCAATAGAACTATATAACAGAACTATACAACAGAACTATACATCAGAACTATACAACAGAACTATACAACAGAACTATACATCAGAACTATACAACAGAACTATTCAACATAACTATTCAACAGAACTATTCAACAGAACTATTGAACAGAACTATAC